ATTCTAAACCAGTAGAACTAATCTAAATCTGCACAAAGAGAATCAGTGATTGTCTGGGACCAGAGAAGAAAGGGAATTGACTGGAAGGGGACAGGAGGGAATTTTATGGAGTCATAGAAATGCTCTATATTTTGATGGTGGTTAAAGTATATTCATTCGCCAATACTCAGCAAAATGTACATTTTGTTGCCTGTAAATATTTTGATGAAAGAAGAAATGGGGTTACTTTTGGGTGATGGAATTAAAGATAATTTTATTTTCTTATTTATCCTTCTCTGTGTTTCTAAATTCTCTACAGTAACCTCATCACTTTCCTTTTCAAAAGTATATATAATCACTGCAAAAATATTTTCTCCACCTTTGCAGCCTCAGCTCAGATGCTTTCTCCTTTGAAAGCCTTACCACAGCCTCAGTCGGAATGAACTGTACCCTTTTCTTGATCCTCATTGCCTTGTTGGTGCCATTGCATTCTGTCTTGGGCTAGTGTTACTACTCGTGTAGTTGGTTCCTTGCCCTGTGGGTGCCCAGTGGTAGGAGGGTTGTGCAACTGTTCAGTGTTTGCAAATTAAATTGAGATTTGTCAGATTGGAAGGGTTCTTGTATAGCTCAAGAGTTGTCATCTATACATGCATCCCCAGTGAAGTGGGGGAAACTGAAGCAGAACCCAGAGCAATTGAGAGCTTGGCTTCAAGTCCAACCTCTGCCAATTACTAGCCAGTTAATCTCCTTGGGCAAACCCTTTGAACTCTCTAAGCCTCTGCATCCTTTCTGCAAAGTGGGGGTAGTGATATCTCCAAGTTTGTTGTAACGCTTAAGTAGCAAGGTGCTTGGTACACAGTAAATGCTCACTTAGCGTTGGCTGCTATTGTAATTATTATCATTATAACAGATAATAATATAAAGTAATGGGACTGCCCAGATACACACAGGTAAATGGAGCAAAGATTTTCTTTCTAGTAAAAGACTGTCATTCTGATTAGTGGGTACCTAACATCAGCCTTTAAAGGCCAGTTGAAAATTAATTTTCTTCCACATTAATGGCTTTTGAGAAAATAAAAACCATTTCCCACAGAAGCAGATGCCCCAAAAGGAGTTTGGATTTTGCTGGCTCTGCTCTTCATTCAGGTATCAGGTGGCAGCCAGGGCTCAGCCTGGAGGAGGCTGCCTTTCTCTGTAGTGTTTGCTGGAGCCGGACTGACACAGATCTGATAGAGGTTGTCAGATCTCTGAAGAACAATTGACTTTCTAAGCAGAGCCCCCTCTCTGAGCTGCACGGTGCTGCCTTACATTTGTAAATGCCAGCGCGCTGCTAAGCACGTCCTGATGAATAGAAGTGTTTTGATGTTTTGTTTTTGGTTGGAGATTGAAGTCCAGTGTCTTGGGACCCAGTGACTTCGGCTGACCTTCCTGCTACATGGACAGGGCTAAATTTCAACCCCTGGAGGCTTCTGCACACAAAACCTCATGCCTCACAAGGGCAGGTGCAAGGAAACCCGGCGGAAATCTGAAGTCTTCGCTGCTTTAGAGACCCGAGCTCACTTCTGTCAGAGGAATTAGGTTTCACAAGCCCTTTTTTATGTAGAAAGCGTATCATTAGGAATCTGGACAGGGTGACTTATTAAAACTGCTGCCTGTAGCAGAGAGAAAGCCGTAAATGCCTAAGGACATTCAAGGGCTAATGGTGTGTACTTTTATTTCCAATAACACTTGCAGCAGCTTGGCCAGAGTACTGGGCTTCTAGATGGAGGTGCCTCTGTTATTTTAGGTCTTGCTGGTTCTGGAAAACATGTTTTTCTCAAAACTTGTATTCCAGTTTTGAAATCAGGAAAGACCTTTCATTTGTAATTTTTGATTGAGTTAGCAACTTTAATCTCTAACTTCACCCTCTTACCGCTTCTGAACTTACTGTTGACATCTAACTCCTCCAAACCTAGCTAGTTTTAGCATCATTTAAAAACAAAAAGATCAATGTGTATGAAAGTTTGCAGTCTATTTCAGCTTAACATTTAATTCAAGCTTTATGTGCTTACATAGTCTTTATAACCACTCTTAGAAGGTAATGCTTTTTCATGATGCTGTTCTGCTCTACTTTATTGAGCTGTTCCCCTCTGCTTGAGTATTTAGATATTTGTTGTGGTGGTAGTTGTTATAAATGGATTATTTACATCTTTGGCTATTGAATTTTTCTTTAAAAAATGCTGTCTTTATCTACATTAGTAAAAGTGGTTCTGGGAGGTGCTCTGATATTTTCAGGGGACCCCAGTCTTCTACCCCTGCCACTTATCCTGCCTTTAAAAATGCCAGGCTCCACATGGACCTGCAAGGTCTTCCTTGGCCTCTGATGTCTGGTAGTACCCTTCACGTGTCAGTGGCCTTGTATAGCTCATAATCAGGGGGAGACTCCTACTTTTGTTTTTCTTGCAGTCTTTGGGAAGGGGTTTTTCTGTATGAGCCCATGTGGACTGACCTCAGCTGGTGTCACAGAAGCTCTACTCTTAAAAAAATAAATCCTATGATATGTTTAATTTGTTACTCATTCTCTGGAGATTCAGGCTACCTAAGTTTTGTTTCATTTTGTTGTAAAGGTGGTTACCTTACAGATGACAGAGTTACTGAGGTAAAAGTACTTAATGGTGCAGGATTGAGGATTGAGCACCTTCTACAGTTTGGCAATCCTTGTGGCTGTGGCTGATGGGTTCTGATTGAAAGTGCTCAATTGTGCCCCCTGTCATTTAAAAAAATATATATGTTTTTGTTGATTTCAGAGAGAAGGGAGAGGGAGAGAGAGAAGAACATCAATGATGAGAGAGTCATCAATCGGTTGCCTCCTGGGGATTGAGCCTGAAACCTGGGAATGTGCCATGACCGGGAATCAAACCGTGATTCTTGGTTCATAGGTTGGCACTCAACCACTGAGCCTCACCGGCTAGGCCCCACTGTCATTTTTACAGAAAACATCCTTGGAGCTTTGTGAATCTGGGTTCCATCCATACTGGCCTCCTCACTGTCCTTCGAACACACCAATCTCATTTCCTCTGCTTGTAATGCTCATCCTCCTGATCTGAGCAAGGCTGATTCTCATTACTTAGCTTAGCAGTCCCCTTTTCCAAGAGGTCTCCTCTGACCACCACTTCTAAAATAGTTTCCACTCACTCTTTAGTACATTTTCCTTTTAAAATCTTTGTGGAGCTTTTTATCAGTATCTGATATTTTGTGTGTTGACTCTATCTCCCACCAGTTGATAAATCCATGAGGGCAGGGGTCCCATCTGTCCTCTCAAATTCGAGAACAGAGGCAGGTACATAGAAGGTATTCATAAATATTTGTTGACTAGATGAATGGATCCTTTGCTCAACAAGAACTTACACAGTACTCCTAAGTAGACACTGTGGAATTCACTTGCATAGTACTATCATCAAGAACTCTGAGTCTGAGATTGTATCCTACTTGCAAGCTAATAAGTTACCCTGCTAGTTTCATGTTGGTAGAAGATATGAGACTGTTAGGTCAGAGGCAAAGGATAGTTTATTACTCACAGCAATAGCAGTACCCAGATTATTAGCCTCATTGTGATGGTTCCCCAAGCCCTGATTTCTCTAGGGTGACATGAAGCAGGCCAGATGACACCTACACAGTGAGTTACAGGAGAGGAACTCTGATTCTTTTTTACTGAACAGTGTGTCTGCCCTTTTCTCTGGAGGGAGATACTACCTCTGTCTTCCAGGGTTGTTTGATATATACATATCTTTGAAAGGGTACTCTGGAACAAAGAGCAGTCAGTGCCTCTGCTCACAAGATGTGTGGAAATGCTTGAGACTCATGAAAAATTGTTTCACAACAAGAAGCCTAGTAAGCCCTTAAATTTGTTGAATGAATGAATGAATGAAAGAGTACCACATGTTGCATGCAGTGCTATACTGTCCAACCAGATATGTTTCTGTCATTAGGAGCTTGTGTCTTCCAGCTGGGAAAATAAATGATAGGGTGTATAGTGGGTAAGTGCTTGTGCTCTGGGCTTAAATGCCTGGATTTAAATTCTGCTCCCATCACTTATTAACTTTGCAGCTCTGGTCTTAGAATCTTCTTCTCTAAAATGGAGATAATAGGGTTATTATGATTAGATAAGCCAGTGCAATTGTATAGTGCTTGGCTTAGAGCCTAACCCCTGGTAAGTGTCCAAACAAGTATTAGGTATTGGGTTGGATTATATGAAATAACCATTTCTGTAGTTCAAATATCAGTAATTTTGTATGGTTTAACCTGTGTATTTATTATTAATAATCTTTTGCTTGGTTATTGCTTGGTTACAAATCATAGTGTATAAATGACTATGTAGTGGAGGTGTGCTCTGGGTCAGGTGAGGCAAGCCTGTAGAATCAGAAAAGTATTTGGGAAAAAGGAAGGAGCTTGGAACCAGATGCGGGGCTCTGAGTTCCACCTTCTCCTCTCATTAACCCCATGACCTTGGGTGAGCCACTTAACCTCTGAGCCCCTTGCCTCATCTGTGCTATAGATACAATAATCCCTTCTACTTCACTGGACATTGTGAGGCTAATATCAGGTGATGGATGTAATTGCTTTATAAACTGGAAGGCACTGTACTCATGCACTCGTGCTTGATATGAAGAGTTTTTAAACACAGTGAGATTTGAGTCTTGGCTTCAACCAGACTATAACTAGGTATAATTTAATATCCCTCCAAAGTCCTCTAATCATAGTTTTACATTTGAAGTATAGCATTGGCCCCTAAACTCAAATTGTTGCTTTAGAATCAAATTATGCTAGTCAGGTTTATATCTAAGGCCTACAACCTTCAGGCACCATAGGGACCATCTGGTGACTAAAGGAAAATCATCTCATTATGAAGGCTTGCAGCTAAATCAGTCAATAGTTAAAAGTAACCAGGCTCCTTTAGTGAATGAGGCAGTTTTAGCTCTTTACGTGAATTCTCATTGAAACCCTGAAAAATCCTGATATAGATAGGTATTGACATTATCCTCCATTTTACAGACAAGAAGACTGGGGCAAAAAGAAGTTAACAATTAGGAATTGGCAGAACTGTACTGGTGAGTTACACTACCTGAGCACCCTCGATAATAGAAGCATCCATTTCCTGGTGCCCAGTAAAAGGGAGGCTCAAGAGCCATCTTTCTGGGGCAGCTGTGGTGGTTCAAACTGCTACTGCTGTTCTTGCTGATGCAAGTCCTGCTCCTCCCACAATCAGTCAGAGAAAGTCAAGTTCTGCTGGTGACTTGCAGGCTGTTGGAATGGCTCCCCACTCCATCTTTGCTGTCAGCCTGCCTGTACCCTATGGAAGTGAGAACCTTCACTCTTACCTCCTCTCTTTTGTGGGGGCTCTCTATGCTGTGATTGCATTCCCATATATTTTGAGCCTGTGCTGTCTGGAAAGATCTTGCTTCTACCTTTTTGTGAGACTAAAGCGTTGGCTCAGAGTCAGCAGATAGTATGCATTTGTGGCAAATCCCAGACAGGGTTAAGGTTTGGCTCCTATACCAGAGACACACAATAATGCCAAGACTCAAATAGAAAAATATATCACTCATTCACATAACTGTCCAAGAGGAGTATCCCAGGTAGTCAGTGGCTCTGCTTCATGTAGTCATTCAGGAATGCAGGGCCCTCCAAGTGGCTTCACCATTCCCTAGGCTTTGCAAACTATATGTGGTGAAGGACCCATTTTTAACATTTTCAATCCATTCCAGATCAAACATTTTTAAAGATAAAAATAAAAATGAATTACTGGAAAAATGAAGGGGAAAAACCCCTAAAGGCATACAAAATATAAGTTTAAAGCATTTTATTATTAGACACTACAGATGTAATGTTACTTACATAAATTGTTATAAAAGTTACTAAATATACCATACCCTTAGTTTCTGTACTTATCTCACGAGAAACTGGTGCTTGAAAACCCTTTATGTGGCACTAGCTTGAGTATCATCATCCACCTCATGGCTGAAGCTGGGTTGCATTATGCTCAGGTGACAGTCATGGGAAGGGAGAACAGAATGTGGAGGAGGGCATGCCCTTCTCCATGATCATTTTTTATATATGAAGTCAGGCTTATTGAAACATAATTTGCATTAAAGAAAATTCACCCTTTGAAGATGTACAGTTGTGTGAAGTGCTGACAAATTGTGTAACCACCATCACAGTTAAGATATAGAATATTAACATCAACCCTTGCTTCACTTCTAATTAAGTTCTCTCTTGCTTCACCTCTAATTAATCTTCTCCCCCACTCTCCCCTGGAAATCACTAATCAGATTTCTGTCCCTATCATTTTACTTTTGCCAAATGCCATATAAATGGAATCATACAATATTTCACCTTTTGAGTCTCGCTTTTTTTCCCACCTAACATTATGCCTTTGAAATTATTTATATCCTTGCTCGGATATATGATCATTTATCCATTTTCCTGTTGATTGGTGCCTGGACTCTAGTTTTTGGAGTTAACAAAACATTTGTATAGCGGTCTTTGTGTGAATATATGGTTTCACTTCTCTTAGGTCAATACCTAGGAATGGGTTTGCTGAGTCATATAGTAAATGTATGTTTAGCTGTATAAGAAACTGCCAAACTATTCCAAAATGGTTGTACTGTTTTGCATTGCCACCAAGAAAATATGAAAGCCTGAGTTTCTCTGCATTCTAGGCAGTACTTGGTATTGCCAGCTGCTTTTTTTTTTTTAGCTATTCTAAGAATGTTGCGTCATGGTATCTCATGGTGGCTTTAACTTGCATTTTCCTAATGACTAATTGTATTGAACATCTTTTCATGTTCTCTTTTGCTAAACTTATCTTTGGGGGAGTGTCCAACTTTTTTTTTTTTTAACCAGTTTTTAAATTGAGTTGTTTGTTTTCTTTTTATTGACTTGTGACAGTTCTTTATATATTCTGGATACCTGTCTTTTATCAGAATGTCTTGCAAGTATTTTCTGCCAGTTTATGGTTTCCTTTTTTCATTTCAGAGGAAGGGAGAGGGAGAGATAAAAACATCGATGAGAGAGAATCATCCATCGGCTGCTTCCTGCACACCTGCTACTGGGGATCGAGCCCAAAACCCAGGCATGTGCCCTGAACAGGAATTGAACCATGACCTCCTGGTTCAGAGCTGTATGCTCAACCACTGAACCACACTGGCAGCTTGACAATACTTTAATGAGGCTATCTAGGCCTGCAGATTTCTTTGCAGGAAGGTTTTAACCATAGATTCAACTTTTAAAATAAATGTAGGATTACTGAGGTTACCTAGTTCTCTTTGATTAAGCTTTTGTAGTTTGTGTTTTTTTATTTTTATTTTTTATCCTCACCCAAGGATATTTCTTTTCATTGCTTTTCAGAGAGAGTGGGGGGAGGGGTGGCGAGAAAGAGAGAGAGAAACATAGATGTAAGAGACACATCAATTGGTTGCCTGCAACCAAGGTATCGAACCCAGGACCCTTCAGTCCACAGGCAGACACTAACCACTGAGCAAAACCTGCTAGGGCTGTAATTTGTGTCTTTTAGGAACATATCTAATTAACCAAATGTATTGGCACAAAGTTTATAATATTTCCTTATCTTTATAAGGTCTGTGTGATCTGTCATAATGTTTCCTTTTTCATCTTGATTGGTAATTTATGTCTGGTACTTTATTGATCAATTTAGCTAGAGGTTTATCAACTTCGTAGGTTTTTTTTTCTCACAAAAAGTTAATGTTTGAAGATTTTCATCAAAGAGCAAATTATGTATAAAACAAAAAGTAGGAAAGCAAACAAATAGAAAATTTGTAGCAGAGGAAATGAAATTAGTACATATGGCAAAATATTCAACCCCACAGGTTATTTAATACAATGCTAGTTGAAACAGCAATGAAGTACCATTTTATAACTAGTAAATCACATATTTTAAAATTAACAGCCGTGCTGACTAGGTTGTGGTCAACAGGTATACTATATTGGTGACAGTATAAACTGTTTTGGCAAGCAATTTATAATACACTTGACAGAAAATAAAAAAACTTCATATGTCTGTTCTATGTCATATTGAGCTTCCTGTAATTCAGCATTTACAGTGTTGTCTCCCTACCCTCCCACAGTAGTTAGATTCAATCCTTTCCAATGTATCCCATAATATCAGTTATCTGGGTGAAATCTGACATCCTCACCTATGTATGAAAATGAAGAATGAGAAATGTTAAACCCAGAGCCAAGAAGTATGAGCACATATTATGGAAGGGAACTAGAACTGAACTATGAAGAAGGGATGTGGGATCAAAATAAAATACCCAAGATCAGATTAGATCATGTCAGAGCTCTCAAGATTCAGAGTTTGGAGACTGGTGATATACCTATAGACACTAACAAATATTCTTAGGGTTTTTGTCAGTACAATCTTTTGTTCTTAAAGAAATGCCATCTTTTTAAAAAAAAATTTTTTTTTATCCATTTAGTGCCATCACACTCTGCATTTTACATTGTACAGTTACAATTCTTGCCATTGAATCATGAGTCTCCAGAACAAACTATGGATTTTGTTGTTGTTGTTGTTCAAAATATTACAGATGTCCCTTTTTCTCCCCATTGACCCATTTCACCCCGTCCCACTCCCTTCCCCTGTCCCTCACCACACCAGTGTCCATGTCCTTGGGTTGTGCATATATGCATATAAGTTCTTTGGTTAATCTCTCCCCCTCCACCCCCCCATCCCTCTGAGATTCGTCAGTCTGATCCATGTTTTCATGTCATTGAATTATTTCTGTTCATTAGTTTATTAAGTTCTTAATTTTTTCTTTATTTTTATTTAATTTAACTTTTTTTATTTAAAATATTACAGATGTCCCTCTTTCTCCCCAATGACCCATTCCACTCCGTCCCATCCCCCTCCCCAGTCCCCCTCCCCACCATTGTCC